TAGTCTGGCGTGATTTCGTTCCATTTCACACAGCTGTTTGACACTCGGCGTAACCTTGGCGCACTGCCACTCCAACATCAAATCCCAGAGCTTAAAGATTAATCACGGGGACAGTAGTCCTAAACGATAGCATATAAAGTAACATATTTACCAACACATGGGCCGTTTCTCAATCGCGAGGAAACTGGTTTCCAAGTCAATATTTCAAGGATACTACGTCATCGAGTGCTGCCGAAGGACTGTTNAGTTTCCATAGTTTCCCCACAGCAGCAGACGCACATTTATGACGTCCGCTGGCGCATCATAAACACGGCGGATAGTGAAAGTGCAGTCCGGGGCCGTTTCTCAATCTCGAGGATTCTGGCTTACAAGCCAATATTTCAAGGATGCTATCATAGAGTGCCGCCGAAGGACTGTTCCAATCTCCAGCATACTTGGAATTCCACCGAGGCCATGTCCTTGGTTTGGGGGAAATTTCGAGGCTGCACATGGGTAGACTTCGCGTCCTTAAAATCCCCACAATGCTTTGCGCACGGACCAATTTCAAAAACCCTTGCGGAGAATGGCTGAACCGACGCAGTACAGCACAAATTTAAATGTAAGTATGTAGTGGCGTAGAACATGAGTTGGTAAATATGTTACTTTGTTGCATGTGTTATCACCAAAAATGTGTTCCGTGAAAGTAAAGCGGGTTCATAATTAGATAGACATCGTGAGGTATTTATTTTCTGTACAGTTTATGTTGGAACCGTTAGAGAGAGTGGCACACTTGTTAGCCTGTTCCATTCTTCTTTGTTTTCCGAAGTGGCTTGGAAGTATACTTGCTTCGTTTCTGAAGGAAGTGACTACCAAGCCAGTATCCTCGTGATTGAGAAACGGCGAGGATGCTTGCTTGGTAGCACATGTCTTCCGAGTCACTTGCTTCAGAAGCTAGGCAAGAATCCTTCCTGGCATTCGGAAAACGAAGAGTGTAACAGGCTAGTAAGTGTGCAGGTATGCGTCATACATTTTCCGCCACAGATTTGGGGAAATTGGTCCGTGCGCAAAGCATTGTGGGGATTTTAAGGACGTGAAGTCTACCCATGTGCAGCCTCAAAATTCCCCCCAAACCAAGGACACGGCCTTGGTGGAATTCCAAGTATGCTGGAGATTGGAACAGTCCTTCGGCGGCACTCGATGACGTAGCATCCTTGAAATATTGGCTTGGAAGCCAGTTTCCACAATGCTTTGCGCACGGACCAATTTCCCCAAATCTGTGGCGGAAAATGTAAGGCGGGGCCTCTCATATGACGCACACCTGCACACTTGCTAGCCTGTTCTACTCTTCGTTTTCCGAATCCGAATGCCAGGAAGGATTCTTGCCTAACTTCTGAAGCAAGTGACTCGGAAGACATGTGCTACCAAGCAAGCATCCTCGCGATTGAGAAACGGCCACTTGCTTCAGAAGCTTATATGACATAATAAAAACCTAACTGACATTTACAATACACATCTTCAGCAGCAATGTGCTAAATGCTATCCATCAGTTGAGAGACTGAAAGTAAATCTTTGCAGTTTCACTCAAAATGAACGCACAAAAGTAGTCATAAGAAGTATTTTATAACACTTAATCGTCTATTTAGATGCTTTATTTACACAAGGTGAAGTCCGTGTGGTCACTTTACCTACTGCTTAATTATTCAAATATTCTTAACTTCTGCATTTAATGTTCTCCGAGTTAGTTAATAAAAAATAGTCTAGTCTAGTGTAAAAGTAAAGTCTGGTTTTCAAAATCATATTGCCTAAGTATTACACATACACAAACTAAGAAAAAAAGAATCAATGTATTTGGAAAGCCCATGATTAGATCAAGTTTAATTACAATAAAATAAATACTGTTCGTATATAATATTTGGTGATTACAGGTCATTTCAGCTTCCAGCACAGAAAAACTAGTGCTAATTGATATTATTTAGTTAAACCATGAGCTGCAAACACTGTAAATAAAAGACAAGGGAGCGTTATAGTTCTGGATCATATTTTTTTATTGAAAATGTACATCAATGGAATCAAACTAAAGTATGATATTTAATTATTTGTAGTGTGGGAGAGTTTTTGACTACAAGAAGTGATGACTGATACTAGAAAAATGTATGGCATTTTTTGACACCAAAATGTTACTTTACACTCAGAGAGTCACGTCCAAAGGTCATAGGTAATAAACAACAAGTCCGCACTTCAATACACAAAATATATCCTTATAAATTATACAAATGCACGAGTATCCTTTTAATACTCCCATCTGGGTTTCAGTTCAATTCCATCTTATACTAAGATTTGGCAAAGGGAGTTGAAAACATAGGACAGAGCAAATATACTTTAATAAAATGCACCATTTGAAGAAAAACAACAATGTAGTTGAAATAGACTGCAAAATTGAATTATTAGGGGATAAAAACAAGCAAGTCAAAAGTCAAAGATCACAGCAGTAATGAAATAAAAAGATGCATGCAAAAAAAAAAAATAGAACAGGCTTGTGAATATTAAAGCACAATGTGTAACAAAAGGCCATTACATGTGACCTCCATGGTATTTAACAGTGACATGTAAACATGGGCACCATCAAATGAAGTGCTAAGTAGAAATATTGCTTTGGATTTTTCACGAGTATGACTCTTAATTTGATTGTAATGTTCATAAAATCAGAGAGCAGGAGATATACATTTTTAACTGAATAGATTTAAGAAAAACAACGTGATAACTCATTATATCCATAACACATTACACATAGTGCATTAAGTGCTTCTGTCCTTGATGAGTTTTGTTTTCAAATAAGCTTTGATGTTTCATCTAATCCCTTATAAGGAATAGTTACAAATGTTTAAAGTAGGCTTGAGGCACTTATACAGTCAGTTTATTACCTATGGCACACCCCTACATTTGAGAAACAGACAGTTCAAACACTGAAGCATGTATAGGTCTGGACCTGGCAACAGCAAAACACTTTTTTGCCACCTTACGTGTCGCTATATTTAGAATATGTTTGATCATTCTTTAGATCTATACTTAACAAATTCACACATCAACATACTAACTGGTTGAGGCAGCGATAGACCATCGACACCCATGTCAATGGAGTCTGGTGGAGAGTGCATACATGTATTAAACAACATCAGTTCCCAGTCAGCAATGGCTGTCTGACTACAAGTAAAATCGATGTAAATTGGTGGCTAAAATAGTGCCCCTGTCCACAGCAGTACATTGCTTAGGTTTATTTTCAATTTAACTGTGTTTCTCCAAACTGGAGACGTGTATATGTACTGTAGGTAATACACCGAGTTAGGAGAAGTACTTCATGAAACCCACCTTTAAAACATCCAAACTCTCCTTTTAATGTGCACATGAGGCGCGTTTACACCGCAGTACTTTTCCCACTTTAGTTCCGATATAGTTCTGAAATGTTGCGCTCACACCAAAAAAATCTGGAACTAAAATGAGTTCATGAGAACCTTTTTACCCCCTTTTCCGTCCCTGCTAGAGAGCAGGGACTTTCGTGGGAGAAAAAGGTTCCTATTTCTGATTGGCTGGGAGGATTGCAAACAACGCCCCGTAAAACTCCCAAAAAAATGTTGTGAAGCCGCCATTTTATTATCCTCGCATTAGCATTATTAGCATTAGCCCAGCGCACAAACGCAGAGAGACTAACTTATGGCAACACAAAAGAAAACATGGGAGCGGTGGAGATGAGGAGGTATTGGCGTTCTGCTGGCGATTGGCGATTTACTCGGAAGTAACCCCAACTCCGGGGACTTCCGGCCGGGGACTTCGGGTGGCAGTATACGCCGTGAAGTTGTTTGCGGCCTGCCAGTAAACCCAAAGCAGAAGAAGAAGTAGTGACGTCAGCGGCTTAATTTGCCTAATCCTCCCTCAGGGACTTATTCCAACGCGATCTGTACTTAGTTCATGATGAGAAGTAGAAGAGTTCTCATGAACTAAGTTCTGATGAACCTTTGTGGGAAAGGTACTGCGGTGTGAAAGGGCCTATAATATAGTACTTATAATCCTATTGAAAAGACGAATGCATAGTGCAAGATCAAATAATGATTTCCCCTATGAGTCCTGCAAATGTGTGAACCCCAGCTTTTATTTACTACAAGAGACTCTTTATATACATTAAGACATTAAAGATTGAAACTGTGCCCAGTTCCCTACCCGCGTGGGTTTCATAGAGCTTCACTAGGTGGTCAGAAATACCATGCCAGTCCACATAAGGCCATATTCAACAAAAAGAGATGCGATGGGGAGAATAAAAAAGGGTTGATACAGCGAGGAAAAAACTGGAAGAGGTAAAGGGTGCTTAGTTCTTGCCGAAGCTGCAATCCCCTCTTCAGGTGGTCAAGAGAGATTAAAAGAAGCTAAAGAGACAAAGAGAGAAAGCCAGCAGTTAGAGAGGTGGAAAAGCAGAAAAACAAAAATCATGGGTCAGGTTTCAGATTTAGAAGTTCATCTAATATCAGGTAGAAAATGTTTGATTATCACAATACAAAATTAGGTTGTAAAAATCCCTGTGATAATGGTTGTTAAAACAAAATATTAAGCATAACATCCCGAGTTATTATTGTGATTATATTGTGCCCACTAGTGATTGTCTTTTCCTCTGTGGTACATTTGAATGAGAAAAAGTGTTAATAATTATCCAAATATGCCAATAAATAAACAAGTGCACCAAATCAAGTGGAAAAAGTGTTAGTCACATCAAAACACAAACAGTGCATATAAACAAAAGCAAAAAGGCACAAGAAGCAAGAATTAGATTGCTGGGGGTGAGGTTAGAGCTGCAGCGAAACACACATGAATCCATATGATAGCAGAGCAGGTAATGATTAAGAAACCCTGAAGCCCGGGGTCCACAAAGCCGCTGGTCACATTTGAGGTACTCAGTACCCACAAAGGCCGCTCCCTCAGCAAAGCTTGAGGGCTGAGGAGCTACTCAGTGCAGAGCCAGGGATTACTGCGAAGGAAAGTGAAACCACACACACCAGTGAGCCGAGGATTAGGAGGAGAGGCTCTTTCTCTCGATGTATTTTGACCCTGGAATCATGAGGACAGGGTGCAGGAATGTCTTGAATCCAAGACTGTGTTCTCTTTCAAGAGACAATAATAGCAACCTTGAAGTGGTGAAAAACAAGCAATAACTGATCAGATCAATGAATTTCCTGTCTCGATTTAGAGAGTATTAATCTCTCCGATATACAAACATCAACTGAAATGCCTCATTATGTAAATCAAGCATTCCCACTTTCCCCATTTGGTCTCCTACGTTACAGCAATATTTGTCATACACAATGATTATGGCCACAGTTGGTATATTTGGTGAAAAATTGGCCTTTATTTCTTTAATGATAATATTTGTTTTGTGTGTAACACTGATACAAACAACAGTGGTCCCTGCAGGACAATGTGGACATCATGAAGATCGACTTTCAAATGTGCCTTCAATAGTAAGTAAAGTAAAAAAGAAAGTTACAATTGCACTGACAACTTTAATATATATATATATATATACTTTAAAAAAACATCAAATTTGGGTATAAAAAAGTGCAAATGTGAAAGCTAATACATGTATGCACGTAACACATGACAATAAATGAGGTATGGGAGAAGTGGCAAAGAGATTAGGCTCACTAACTACTCATGCATCTGGGTAGAGTGAAACAGCTTCAGCACAGGGACAAAAATAATAAAACCAATTCTTTAATTCTTACTAATTTAAGTCTATATTGCTGAGGGAATTATAAGGAACCTTTAAAGTTATATTCCTCATTATTGTCATGAAATCAAATCCCTTTTTTAGAACTTGTTATGCATTCAATCAATCAGGACTACAATCTTAAGGATCGTATAACTTGAAATGAATAACAAATAATCTATGTCAAAAATAACCACCAAATGTATGGTATATGCCTCAACAAACATCCCAAACATGTGTGTGTTTATTATGCAATTATGTGTGTGTATATGCCTCAAAATGTAAACACTGGGGGGGAAATAAATATCACCCAAAATGTTCCAGTGAACTTTTGTTGTTGTTGTCCACCCTGAGCTGGATCTGAAGCCAATGACTAAATGATTTAAAGTAATTTGGCAATTGTTGTTTGCAAGGTTAAGACAAGTAGTCTCTTAGATGATTGTCCTTTTATCTAAAGATGGATCAACATGAACCTAATCCATCCTCCAATCAGATCTTTGGCCACTGTACTCTCCCTGCTGTCTGACGCCTGTTTCACTTTACCCTCAACACATTTCTGCCCATCACAAAGGTAGTCATGTATGTTAATATGTTTTTAAAAGCTCACCCCATCATGCAATTCATCTTTTAATAAAAAACATAGAATGCATTATTTAGTAAATGTTTCTAAGAAGACAAGCTAAATAACTGCTTGTATAAACAACATACCACACAAGCGTCATTCAGCAAAATAAACACAGAGTGATGTCAAACCGATAGCAATGCCCAGCGTCTTCCAGAGAGCANGGCATGTGGAGGGTTGAATTATGGAGGTTGGGTGAGGGTGAGGCGGGGGGAAGGATGGGGCTCTGTAAAAAAGATGATGAGGTGGAAACTCATTCACAGCAGGACGGCCACAAGGGAGCACTTTTTCTACAGGAATCCTAAGCTGGAAATGAGAGAGAAGGGCTGTTAATGCTTCCTTTGAGTTCAATCATCAACACTGTTTCACATGGGTGACATGACATCAACTTTAGTGACCAGATTAGATCAGATCGTGCTTTCAAGGCAGCTCAACAAAAGTTTAGAAGTTAGGGTGGCAGCACAGTCATCTATTTCTTTGAATCATTTTGGTTTTTGTAGAGGTTTTGTCCCGCCTGAGCTTTAAACAATGTGTCTGATTGTCTTCCTCATCAAACAGCAGCTTGTTTGCATCTATTTTAACAGTGCTGAGCAGCTTGAGGAGTTTACAGATTGCAAAGACAGATGCCTTTGTTCTGTTCGACCCTCCCCAGCGGTTGAGTCTCAACAACATCTCCCCTCTGTGGATTTGGCTTATGTATCCACTCAAGGAGGAGGGTCGTAATATGGCTGCGAGATCAACAAAACATGTCATCTCCACAAACAGCGATGGGCCCTGAGGGTGTTTGCTGCTCTGCTGTGACCTCACTTCAGCATTCAATGGCTCTTTGTGTGATCGCTGTGCGAGTGGGAAAGGCCATTGGAGAGCCACAAAAAAGACACTGTTGTGGGTTTTGAGAGGCAGATGGGGCAGTATATCAAATGGGTGTGTGGGGATCTAATAAACCGGATTATTTAGGAGGCAGCACAAGGACGGTAAACACTGCCAGCTCAAGGATATGATCGACACAGATGTTAACAAGGATATACTTTAGGCCTGCAACTCTCACATACCTGAATAACTGTGCCCATTTATCATATTGTAGCACATTTAGATAACTTCAAATATTAAATGAAATACATTTCATTTAGATAATAGTTTGGAAAGAAGTTCATTTGATTGTAATGAAATGCTTAAATATAGCCTGTTCTAAATGTAGGCCAGGTGCAGGAAGTCAGAGTCAATGAAGGGAAAAAATGGAGAGTATCTGCAGAATAGATTAACTCCTCAGACACTTGGTAGTGTAGAAACCTTCCCAGTTTGAGGACCTTTTACAGGATTCCTGATGTCTAAGGCAAGTCAAATTAAATACTTTGTTATGCTACTTTAAATGAAAAGTAAGACATTTAAGAAAAAAACTGTTAGGTACAATGTCAGAAAAATAGAATCAAAAAGACTTGATTTATCAAATGTTTTACTAATTAAGTCTTTATTCCTACATAAATGCATGTGATGAGTTTATAAGAATATTTGACATTATATCTTTATTCATGTACTTGTCACAAATTAAAGTTTAATATCTTTTTTTGTTATATTTCGTAGGTGGTGTCTTACCAGAAAAGATGCCCCATGCAGCATGCAGCAAGTAGGAGGAGTTAACTGGAAAACATTATGGATGCAACATAGGTGACACATGCACTCACAGGACAGATTTACAAGCACTCATCAATATCTGTGTCAACTGGGATCTGAAGAAAACGCTGACAGATAAACAAACATTATCTGTGTTAACGCTTGAAGTGAAAGTCAGTTTTAACCAGTGTACCACAGACAAAGTGGCACAGCGGCCCCTTAAGGAAGAGAAAATGTATCCAGGCAGAGCTCATAAAGAAAAGAAGTGGCTGTGAAGAAAAAAAATTAACAGGGAAGAAAAAATAAAGCAACAAGAACCTTCTCAGTGCAAGTGTCTTCTTCCTTTTTTAACAGGCACGTCGTCACATCAGCTTCAACACAAAACCAGCAGTTGATTACCAACAGGAAGGGACCCGCACACATAGACCTCAACCACACAAAAACACTTCTGGCTTCCAACACTGACAAACATGTTGCGACAAACAGTCTCGTACTCTCATGGTATAATGAAACTATTGATATAGTGTTGGAAGGAACAAAGTTAATGTCAGGGGAACAACATTGAAAGTGAATACTCTAGATTCATTGAAACCAGAGGAGTGGCCACTGTCAAATAGTTTCCACTAAAACAATTATGAACTTTGATCAGACCCTTTCAAGCTAATGGAACTGTCAAGTACTTGTTGACAGAGATGCTATAAAGTCATTTACACAGATCTGTTCAGGGGGGTTTCATTTCATGATGATTTCTGACTGTTGGCAATTGTTCAACTATTTAGATGAGGATAGGGAGTCATTTCCACCAGTCTCTCCCCTTCTCTGCTCCTCATCATTTTCCACATTGGTGATAAATTATGAATTCTGGTCAGCTCTCTTAGCGAGGAATTCAATGCTTAACATATTCTCCGTTATTATATAGAGGGCAAACTGGAGCACTCTTCTGCCTCTCAGAAATACAGAGCAGAGTGAGAAGCCTTGAGCTTAACCTGAGCCTTTAACTACTTTAAAGCATTAAATTATGCAAATATAAGGCGTATTATTAACGAGTGCTGACAAAGAAACCACTAAGCGCTTGGTGATATTAGAGGAACAGACGGAAATGAAGTTCCGTCTGCATAAAGTCGAATGAATGAGTTTGCATTTCTGTCAGGATCAAGCTACACATTTCCGTCATAAAGACCCCAAAGGCTTTACAACAAACAGCTTCTCACATAGTTAGTGGCAGCTATATTTATGTACTTGTTTTGGCAAATGATCAACATTATGAAAGGTCAATGTAATAACATGTGGTATTGTTCGTCACAGCTCCACAGCATCCAGACTTTTCAATCCTGAAACCTCTGGAGGTGGTCTGAAGCCCCTAACATGTACGGAGAGATGTGAGGAAGGCACAGGAAGAAGAGAACAATACTTACTTTTTCCTCTCTTTGTCCCTCTTGAGTGTGGTGGAGCCCCCTGCCTGCTGGGCCTGGTTCTGCAAGAGCTCTGCGGCAGTCTTTTTCTGTTTGAACATGTTGAGCTCGTCGTCCAGGGACTTCCTCTTGTCCTCCACTTTCTTCTTCTCGTCCTGGTGGAGCTTCTTCAGACGGTCAAACTTCTCGTGCAGCTATCGTGAGACAAACCATGCTTTAGGTTATTGAATGCAAAGGCAGGAACTTCCCTTAACAAGTGATGAACAGGATGATGAAAGGACGCACCTCTTTCTCGGCTTCTTTGAGCTCAGCCTCCTTCTCTTTCACTCTTTGGACAAACATCTGTCTCATTTCTTCCTCCTTTTTCTGCAGTTCCCCCATGAACTCGTTCCTCTTCGCTTCATACGTCTCCTGCAGACTGACAAAGGAAAAAGGGAGTACAACAATTCATAACCAGACAAAGACAACAAGACACAGACTGATACAATCTTGCAAAGGTAAAAACGTTTCAATGATATGTGGATGCAGAGCGGTCCAGCTGTTTGGGAGCGGTCTCCTCTCCAGTTGTACCTGAAGGGCTTGCTGTCAGGGTCCGTGTCCTTGAAGCCCATCTCCTCCAGTTTGCAGCGGCGGTACAGCTCATAGTGGCGGGTGTGAGTCTGCTCTCGCAGGTCCTCCATGTTCACTCTGATCAGCATTTCCCGCAGCTTGACGAAGTCACAGTGATTCTCATTTTCCACTGTGAAAGACAGACATCATAGTGAGAGATAAACAAGTGCTTCACTCAACATGGGATCCTACTCATTATGTATTATGCATTAGTGTGAGAGGTACAAACAGATACTACGAGAGCTGCAGTGATAGGCTGGCTTTTGATAAGTCAATCTATAGCAGGGGTGTCAAACTCAAGGCCCGGGGGCCAAATCCGGCCTGCGACTTCATTTTATGTGGCCCGCAAGAGCTTGCAAAGAATATAATATGTTTATTATATGGTTGCACTTGAAATGTTTGGCTCTATGAAACCTGATGTACTTATATGATTCTGTTTTCTTCAAGGTTGTATCTTCCTGGTCGAATGTACTTACTGTAATTCGCTTTGGATAAAAGTGTCAGCTAAATGCAATGTAATGTAATGTAATGGTTACTTGTCACTTTACAGAAGCACATTGCCAATAAACAACATGTCCCACAATGCATCTCATTTTGTGACATGCGCTCTGAAGAGACTTGCAATTATTTGCCCTAGACTTCTGCTTTCAGACGTAGTTAATTATGAAGTTATTACCCTATCCGATAATAATCCAATTCAGAGGCAATAATGTAATATAATACATTATTTTATATATTTATATCGTCTTAAAGTTACAACCGGCCCTTTGAGTGCAACCATAATGCTAATGTGGCCCGCGATGAAATTGAGTTTGACACCCCTGATCTACAGAAATGAATGTAAACATTTCAGAAAAAGCAGTTTTAGCCTCACAAAAAACTGCTCTTCTCTGTTTTAATTCATATTAAAATGGAATCACTGGGTTTTGGACTTACAAAATAGAAATGTAAAGACTTCCCCCTTGGACTTGTAAAATTATTTCCAGACATTTTATAGACCAAACAATTAAATAATAAAGAATTAAGCAGATGAATCGCTAGCTACCATAGGAAATTGAGCCTTATATCTCTAGCATCAAATAACATTTAGATTTAAAACAAATAACCCTAATGAATTATAACTTGAGAGTATTTTCCAGGACAGAATAGTGTTCCTGTCCTGTGGCTCGTCTATTGATTGTGTCACTGGACTGAACTCCACACCCCCCTCAGATCGTATGACACCATGTGAGTTCACTATGCACGCACACATTCACTCAGTAAATAGATCCAATGACAAATAAAGCCTCTGGACAGAAACATCATACAGAGCCGTTTGTAAGTATTAGATTTCCTTGATTTTGGCTGCATGTAAAACGGAACACTGAATGTGAGGTAAAAGTGTTGACTTTCAGCTTTAGGGCCGTTTTTGGAAATGATAGCCCTATTTACCCTCAGAGGTTATGT